TAGTAGCAAAATAAAACTAAATATGTAGAAACAAAACAAAACAAATATATACGAGCAAAAAGAGCAAAACGGACATTCTTTCGTAGATACTCGTGAACCCCGTGCTTCGTGCCTGTGGCTCGGGCGCGGGATTTGCTCGTGATGCAGTCACGGTCGTGTAACTGTCACTCGAAGATCATTTTCAAAGTCATTTGCCCTCGAAGAACTCTGTTCGAATTTAACGTACCTGATAAGCTGTGACCAAAGCTGCTGTCTACAGAGGGAATCCGATTGAGGGTTTGGACAGGTAAAAGATTTTACAGAAGGTGTGAATGAAATTCTCATATACATGTATACAGTATGAGGTTGTGTAAACGATGTGGATATAAATAACGAAAGATCCTTGACACATGGCACTCGGGCAGATACTTGGCAGTATATGTGTTGTTATTAATACATTATTACCTTAATTCGGTTGAACTAGCTGTTCGAACTGCTGTTATTTATTTTGCTTCCAAGACGAGAGCGAAGTGCTAACGAATTATATATTTAAATTTGATTTTTAAAAAACAAATCAACTTAACGCGTTCATAAAACCATAACGCAGGGCTGTTGTTTTTTGGTCTTTGGGAGGTGCATCAGTAGCGGGGCTATATACAGAGGCCGGGTTTTCGTAAGAGGAATATTGGCGTTTCAAATTCGGCTGGGCTTATACTTTATTGAAAAGAAAACTTTGTCGGCAATGTTTCATTATGGAATTAAATGATGGCTATATATGATAGTTTCAACCCACGGCCAGCCCACTTCTTGTTGGCGTGAGTCACGCACTTGAAAGCTGCGAGGATTGCTTAAAACTGGGTATGGAAAATTCCGCGAGTCACGCAAATTTTCGAATTCGTTGGTTTTAATTACAGTTTTAGTGTTAGTGATGCTTATCTTTGTTCAGCTAGTTTAGTTTTACAGCCCTGTTCTCTTTTAGCCTCTTCCAGGCGTTAGTTAGGGCGCAGCGCGAAAACACAGCGGAGCGAAAAATGGAAAGGAAGGGCTGGTGCCAGGATAACCGTGAACGCGTTCCGCGCCGCGCTTCTCCCCTATTTTTCGGTGCGTCATTTTTCGCGCTGCGCCCCAACTAACTTAACGCCTGGAAGAGGCTGGACTATTTTCTGTCCTACTGAAATAAAGACAAAGGGACTAGAAACACGAATAAAAGAATCAGTTTTCTAGTTGAATCTCGATTCTAACGTTCTGCCGACTTTTTTTAGGCAGAACTGAAGGATTCAACGAACATTTTAACCAAATCAATCGAAAACGATTTTTTTGTTCTTTTCTTCATTTAAAAGGACCTAGTTTGACACTTCTTGTACCTTGCGTGCAGGCATTTTCCTGACCCCTTTGCTAATGTTGCTGCATACATTAACTGGTACGTAGTCTTAATTGCAGATACCCACTCTGATCTACCATGGCAAACAGATTACGAGGCCGACTGCCTCCCTTACTGAGAGAAACACTGGCTGAGTTTATGTCTACATTCATCCTAGTGGTTTGTACTGACTGCCCGTTGACTTTTTATTGCAAGGTCGTTCACGCACTGGAATATTAGCTTTGCAGTAGTTTTGGGTTCTTTTCTCCCTATAAGGGGTCTTTGGAATACTGGATGTTTAGTTAATTAAAAATAAAGGGATACGCAATATTTTGGGAAAAATAAATTGAATAAGGGATATTTAGAACCCTAATGAGGCCTCAAGGTGGCCCCGACGGTTTCAGCATTTCAGCAAATCTGAGGGATAAAGATGTTCTGAAAAGCATGCGCACGAGTATCGTTTTTATTTTCTAACCAATTGGCGGCAAATCGTCCTGCGGAAGCAACGCACTGGGCAACAGTATGACCAGTTTCGTACCTGACTGTGGTTGGGCGCCATTTTTGTTGCAGTTTTTCATAATGTCGGAAAAAAACACCAGCGCAAATTTTATTAGTTACTTAGTAATTTTCTGTTCCGTGTTTTCTTTTTGTTGTAGACATTTGGCGTCGCCTCTGTCGCCCAGACGGTTCTCAGCCGAGGGAAAAATGGAACCTTTTTTACTATAAATTTCAGCTGGGGCATCGGGGTTACACTTGGTATCTACTGGGCCGGGGGTATATCAGGTAAGTTATCTTAAGCTTATTTAGCCTGGCCTTTTTTTTCATTGAAAACTTATACCTACTGCAAAACCACAGCGTCAAACTAGCGAGAAGCGCCGGATCTATATATAAAGACCTGGATCAGTATAAATGTTGAAATAATGAATAAAATCGGGAAAAGTGACCCGTACGGTAGGGGCGAGAGAGGAGACGAAGATAAAAGTCAAATTAAAACAAAATTGCAAAATATATTTGCCCGATCCTTTCTCTCAGTCTTAAGCGCTTGAATTATCTAATTAAGAAGAAAAAGACGGTCACTCTCAGCTGGTCAGCTGTTGAATAGCAGACAGTCATCGCGCTAGCAATAATCAACAATACCCGCGTTTAGCAGGTATGTAAGTGAAGTTTGTATCAAGTTGATTCAGTTATAATGTAATCCTCTTCTCGTTTTATTGTCTGTCGAAGGCGCGCATATGAATCCCGCCGTAACACTGGCCTTTGCCGTGGTTCGACGATTGGACTGGATTAAAGTTCCCGTATACTGGCTAGCGCAGTTGTTAGGTGCTTTCATAGCGTCTGCAGCTGTATATTGCATTTACCATGGTAAGATTGA